CTTCCAAAAAAGAAAAGAATGAAAAGAGAAGGAAAGGGAAAAAAAATTGAGACAAGATTTGCCTAAATTACTGAGTTGCCCAGACTGGGCTCACAATTACAATCATCCTGCTTAAGCTTCCCAGGGTGTTGGGATTATAGATGTATGCCCTGAGGCCCAGCTAGAATTGTCCTCGTTTTGGCCCTGGGAGTTGAACTCGACCTTGTGCTAGCCTGACAGGCACTGTGCTGCTGAGCTATGTCCCCAGCCCATTGTCTGTTATTAACAATGCATTTCACAGTGGCCTTCCTGAACTATATGTTTATATCCCACAATCCTTTCCTTTTGTTATTTGTTTTGTTTTTGTTTTTTTGACATAGGGTGCAGTTCAGGTTGGCCTTGAGCTCACTTTGTAGCCCACGCTGGTCTCAAACTAAACGATCCTCCTGCCTCAGCCTCCTGTGCACTGGGATAAAGGTGTGCACCACCATGCCTGGCTTCCTGTTTTTGCTTTGTTGTTTTTAACCAACGCGTTGCCATGGCACGAGCACCACCCCACAGCCTGCGTGTCCCCCTCGTGCATCACCTCACATTCTGCCTCTCCACTCCAGGTTTCAGCTTTGCACCATGCTTCTGGCTCTGTCCACCCACCAGGCCTCCATATGTGCTGTTCCTGCTGCCTGGGGCATGCTCTTATTCCTGCCTCATGGCTTTTAGGGCCCTTGTGGGCCCCTGGAAGGTGGACTAGGCCATGTCCTGCAGTCCCTTCGAGTTGCTACCTGCCCAAGGGCATCTCTCCCATTGTGTAGGGGGCAGGTCAGCTGGGCTCCGGGTTCCAAGCCTGGCTCGAGGCAGGCACTCAGGAACTGTGTGTTCAGGTGCATCATCACTTATGAGACCTGGAGCTGCGTCTCTGCAATGTCAGTGGCCAGGGTGGCCCTCATGGTAACGGGCCACTTTCCTGTGCTGCAGGCCATCACAGAAGGTCGATCTCAGCATGTTGCTTTGACCCCGACAGCCAGAGGGTGGCTACCGTCTCCTTGGACAGGTGCATCAAGATCTGGGATATCACCTCCCAGGCCACGCTGCTCACCATCCCCAGGTGAGAAGGAGCCCAGAGGCCAGCTGCATCCTGCAGCAGCAATGTCAGCGGGACGCCTCCCTCTGCACCCTCTCAGAGCCTGCTGCAAGTGGGCGTCCCTTTGGTGGTGTGTCCAGTGTGATCTCAGGTGATCCAAGCAGGACAGAGACACAGGCGGGGAGAAGCCGCCAAGCACTGGGCTGGGTCCTGTGTGCGGAGGCTGTTGTGCGATTGTTGTGCGGCCTGCACTTTTTTGATGTTAATGCACTCTAGAAAACACTGCAAACCCCGCACCCAGCACCCTGGGAGGCCAGGAGGAAGATCACTGAGTTCAAGCACAGCCCAGCCCCTTGACACACAGTGTCTCAAAAAAAAAAAAAAGGGACTGGGGTGCAGCTCAGTTCAATGGCCTTGAGCTCAAGCCCCTATCCACTCCTCCCACCCCACCCCTCACACACAAAGCAAATTTCCTGGCTGTCCTCTAAAACAGGAAGTCATACTAATCCGGCTGCTGCAAAGGGTCCCTAGCAGACAGCCAGCTCCAGATGGGGCCAGCTGTGGGCACCAGGGCCTGGTATCAGGATCCCACCACGTGCCGCTCCTGTCACCCTGCCTGCTGCTCTGCTCTGTTTCTCTAGCTTCCCCTGGTGGCCTGGTCAGGCATCAAGGGTGTGGTTTCCCTTTCTGGGTGACCTGGGGCCTCAGTTTCTCCCTGCAGGCAGGGCAGAGGTAAGGTGTGAGCAAGATAACTCGGGAAGCCGGACCTCAGCTCAGCCTGGCTGCCCTGCGGGCCCTGGCGCGTGCTGTTCCCTGAGCGAGAAAACCGGGTTTAGGGGGCATGAGGGCAGCAGAGGTAACCGAGCTCCAGCTTCGGGCACCGTCCCAACCCACCCTCTTCTGCTGCTGTCCTACTAAACACCGCTGCCATCATTCAGACTGTTCTCTCCCACTGATGAGATACCATTCCTCTCTCTTTATTAAGTTTTTTTTGTTGTTGTTGGGCTTTTGTGTGTGTGTGTGTGTGTTTTGTGCAGAGTCTCACTATACAGCTCAGACTCACAGTGATCCTTCTATTTTCAAGCCTCCCAGCACAGGGATTATGGGTGTGCGTCACCACGCCTGGACTCAGTGGCTACCTCAGCGTGCCTGGGAGCGGGGCCAGCACACCATGTGGTGCTGGGGAATGGAACCCCGGTCCCTGAGCTTGCCTAAGCAGGCACTTAGTTTTCTGAGCTATCTCACTGGCCCTCATCCTCTCTCTTGCTGCTTTCAGGATTTTTTTCTTTATCTTTTGTTTTCAGCAGTTTAATTATGATGTATCTGAGTACGCCTTTCTTTCAATTTCTCCTGTTTGGAGTTTACCCTGAATCTTAAATATGTACTTGTCTATTTTTTGCCCAGTTTGGTAAAATTGTAGTTGTTATTTCTTCTTTTACTTTCTCAGACCTCCCTTCTCCCCCACAGTTTGGATTTTAGAGGCAGGGTCTCACGACGTAGCCCAGGCTGGCCTTGAACTCAGGGTGATCCTCCTGCCTCAGCCTCACAGATACTGGGATTCCCGAGCTTGGTTCTACCTTTTTTTCCTCCTCCGGTTCTGCTAACTGTAATGGCATAAGTGGTAAATCATTTGCTATAGTCCCATAAATGTCTAAGCTCTGTTTTCTCTCTTTGTTCAACTAACTTAATTTGTATGGTTCTGTCTTCATGTTCCCTCCTCCTTCCGCTGTTCTCTCCGTTCTGCCATGGAGCTGCCCAAGCCATGTTTTCCTTCAGCTATTGTGTTTTTCACTTCAGAAATTTCCACAGGATTCTTCTAATATGTTCCATTTCTTCATTAAAGTTTTCTAACTTCTTGTTTCGAGAATGATTGACAATAATTGTCCTATAAGCAATTTTATGGCAATTACTTAAATATCCTGGCCAAAGCTAGGTATGGTGGCACATACCTATAATCCCAGCGCTCAGTTGGCTGAGGCAGGAGGATCTCCAAGGGTTTCAGGCCAACCTGGGCTACATAATGAGTTCAAGGCCAGCCTAAACCGCATAGTGAGACCCTGTCTCCAAAGAAAAAAGATTCCTGGCCAGGGGTGCTGCCAGTCACCAGGACTTGAGGAGCTTTGTCCTGCACACCCCTGAGGAGCTTACGCCTCTTCTCTTCTCACCTTGCTCAGTCTGTGCCTTTCAGTGAACTGAAATGTGGTCCAACGCTCTGACCAGAGCTCCAGAAAGCAGTTTTGCTCAGCCCTTCCTGCCGATGAAATGGATGGTTTTGCACAGAGATGCCCAGATGTGCTTGTAGTGTCGCCTGAAATTCTCTTCATAAGATCAAATGAGAATTTCAGGGAAAGTACTTGAGGATCACAAACAAAAAGTAACCGAAATCTGATATACATTTTTTTTTTCTTTTCAGTATAAAGATATTTTAAAATTAAGAGTGCACAACCCAAACCTGGTAGGTTCTGGCCCTAGTTTGAATGACTGAAATCATCATGGTGGTCATCTCATGTGGCTGAAGCCCTTAAAACAAAAGCCCATCTTCCCCAAGACCACCTCCCCCTTCTTCTCCAACTTAGTCCAGGGTGCAGCTTCCTTTTACCCTTCCTGCAGCCTCAGGGAAGACCCTCAATCAGCTCCCCCGTCAAGCTCCACCCCTAGCAAAAGCCATAAAGCCTCAGCCTCTCTTTGTTCCAATTGAGAGAATTCCTCATCTTCCCCACATTCTCTCCTTGTCCTCAAAGAAAATAAAGCTCCTTTTTCCATTTTTCCTTCTGTTTTTCTGCTGTGCCAGGCACCTGATAAAACCTATTAAAACCTTTATTAAGGGGCTGGGGAGATGGCTCAGTAGAATAAGTGCTTGTCTGACAAGCGAAAGGGCCTGAGTTCAATCCCCAGTTCTGCCAAAAAAAAAAAAAAAACCTTTATTAATTAAATATAGGGGCTGGGGAGATGGCTCAGTGGAATAAGAACTTCCCTGGCAAGCACAAGGACATGAGTTCAATCCCCGGTTCTGCCAAAAAAAAAAAAAAATTAAATATAAAACATTGTTCTGTGCTTTAATAGTGCTGAAGACAGATGAAGAGAAGTGGGGAAAAAAGAGCACACTGGTGTGGAAAAATAAGGACAGGAAGTGACAGAGAGGTGGGACAGAGGACACAGGAGTGGGACATGGAGAGAAGGAGCCAAGGCCAGTATTAGGGAGAACAGAGGAGAGAGGGACGTCCTCTCTGGACGTGGCTCAGCGCTGGTGCTGATCGGTCCATCAGCCACCACCGACGGCTGTTTAGGTGTCTCTTCATTATGCCACAAGCGGCTTTTGAATATTACAGTACTTCTCAACTGGGGGCAGGTTTAGCAATGATTGGGGACATTTGGGGTTGTCATAAAGGGTTATGACAGGCACTACTGGCATCTACGCAGGCCAGGCATGCGGCTAAGCACCTTCTTTTCTACAGGACAGGCTTCGACAAGAAAGAGTAACCCAGCACAGAATGCCAGTGCTAGCGGGGCTGAGATCCTGGAGTAGTGCGCTGCAGGCTCAGCAATTCGTGTCTGCACGGTGGTGAATCAAAGGACCGATGTCCACTTGCCCACTGGAGACGGTGGCCACTTCCGGCATCCTCCCCTCTTCTGGGGATGTAGCTTCTCCAGCCCCAGAAGAGCTAACACATCCCTTGTCTGTGTTTCAGGGCGCACGAGAGTGCCATCTCGAACTGCTGCTTCACCTTCAGTGGCCATTTCCTGTGTACCACCTCCTGGGATAAGACCTTAAAAATATGGAATGTCTACACCGGGGAGTTTCGGAACTGGGGCGCCTGCGTGACTCTGATGCAGGGCCACGAAGGCTCCGTGAGCTCCTGCTGCTTTGCCAGAGACAGTGAGTGATGAGCACGTGGCAGGCTGTGTTCTCAAGGGTGCCGGGCGGAGCTCTTCGTGTTCCATTTGTTGGGACTTTGCTAAGGCCAGACAGGCGATTTCCATTGATGCCAGCTCTGAGGGTGGATTTTTTTTTTTTCCATGAGGACAAAAAATTCATAGGTTCAAGTTTGTTCAAAGCAATGGAAACTCAGCTCGATGGGGCTCAAACAGCAACACTCCAGCCCTAATATTTCTGTGCCTTTTGTTAGTAGTTCTACTGTTGAAAATGGCTCTCACACACAATGCTGAAGTGCTGTCTAATGTTCCCAAATGCAACAACTCTGAGGAAGCTAATGGAGAAAACGCATGTGTTAGATACACTGGAGGGCAGCCATAAGCCTTAGTGTTGTTGGCTATGAGTCCAGTGCTAATGAAACAGTGTCAGTGTGTGCATGTGTGTGCGCGCGCGCTTAAACAGAAACACGCATAAAACAAGGTTATGTATTGATGAATGGATGAAAATGTTGTGACTCAAGGAGGCTTGCAGGATCCTAACCCTGCGTTTCCCAGGAGCAATGGTTCCAACATCTGCAATACCTCTATAGCCCCTAACTGCCATGTGCGATGACAGCCTGCTGGGACTGGCTGGGGGTCGCCAAGCCCCCCAGGAGGGGTTTCATTGTGGTCAGAGTGAGCCGTCTTGGCCTCACAGAGAAGGACCCCCGCACCCAGACTCTCCCGTGCTGTGTTGCAGGCTCTTTTCTCGTTTCTGGAGGCTTTGACAGGAGCGTGGCCATCTGGGACGTGGCGGAAGGCTACCGGAAGCTGTCCTTGAAGGTACAAATGGCAGCATCGGATAGATCAGAGTTGTACTTCTGAGTCATTCCAATCCGTGCCCCAAAGCCAGTCACACAGCAGCCTGACACACCTGGGTGCCTCCTAAGGGAGCTGGCACCCTGTAGGCAGATAGGCGAGAACTAGCAGTGCGTCTCAACAGTGATGAGAGGGGTAGAGAAACCACACCAGGGCTGTGATAGAAACAGACTCAGGACTGGCCCTCAG